TTGATGTCAAACTATTGCCAAAACCTTTTTTTTTATATATATATTTTTTGTTTCTACCTCTTTTTTAGCTAACCAAGTCATTTTCTTGTCCTAAATATATACACACATAACATAAGGAAAACGGGAATTCAAATACAGATTCTAAAGATTACTAGATACCATGAAAGCCCTGAGGTCAAATTTCAAAATAAATAAATAAATAAAGAAAAGAAGAGCAAAGCGCTTGGTTAACTGGTTTATTTAGGTACTGTATGCACAAGCATGAATCAACCGTGATGATTATTAACCAAATGATTCCCATAAATTAAGCGAGCATAAATGAGAAGCGCATTTGTAGTAGATGCATGAAATGTCATTTCAGTGGAAAAATGATACTTCAAAAGCCCAAAGTAGTCAATCAAATTGCCAATTAGAGGGAATATTTAAAATTCAAAAGGAGAGGGTCATCCCTTAAGAATTTTTTTTCCTTTTTTTTTTTTTTTGAGTAGTATCACTTAATATTAAAATCTCACATTGACCGGAGATATTATCATGATTCACTTAATAAGGTGATGACTCTTAACAAGTCGATTTTGTTAGGTTAAGTTAGGCCCAATATCCTTTGATTTCTGTAAAATGGTATCAGAGCAAGCTCAATTTTATAATGTTGGGTCCTCCAATATCGACTTATTTGCAGTGGTTTGGCATGGTCCACACTATGCGTGAGGGGGCGTATTAGAATCCCACATTGACTGGAGATATTGGCATGATCCGTTTAATAAAATGAGAGCAATCATCTCCTAACAAGCCGGTTTTGTTAGGTTGAGTTAGACCCAATATTCTTTGATTTTACAACCCCATATCCTTTGATTTTTGTAAAACTTAAGAAATTAATAACATTACAATACAAAAAATTTAGATTTTTAATAAGGCGCCAAAAAATCCCATCTACTTGCAGTAAATATTTTTCCAATCCTCGTGCCTTCATCAAATTTTATCCCATCTATATTTACGAACGCGCACTACTAAAATTTACAAAATACTTCATGCATTAATACCTCATATGGCAGCACAAGTATGTTACAAAACGACTTCTAAGCATATGTATATAGGACTTTATAACCGACATTCTTAGCAGTTCAAATGTACATTTTCAACACTTCTGTGGCTACAGAAATTCAAATTACGATTACATTTTTATTTCAACTCGATGAAATACGATAAAAATTTGACAAAATTCAAAATTGTCCCATAGTTGTTTTTTTTTTTTTTTTTGTCTTTTTTAACATTGGATGATGAAATGGTGGAAAGAATCATGGAAATATTAATAGGGCAGGCTGCCTAATCTCCGTGCATATATGGACCACAAGCTTTCTGGCCTAACGCAGATCGGCCGAGTAAGACAGGCAATCAGACACCTCCTCTCTCTCTCTCTCTCAAAGCAATTACATTACCTTTTCTTTTTTTTTCTTTTTTTTTTTTTTGCCTCTGTTTTCATATCTTACAATCATCCTGCTGCCGTTTGCCTGACGGCAGGTCTCCAAACAGAGGAAATACTGATGTTGAGAGAGAAAGAAGGAGAGAGAGAGAGAGAGAGAGAGAGAGAGAGAGAGGGATAGAGAGGATGTGGGATTAGTAGTGTAGTGCAACTATAGCTATATAGGTAGGGGACCATTTCCCGGTCTTTGCCAATTTGCCCTCATGGGTTGGACAGTTTGCAATAAACACCAAACAGTACACTACAGCTCCCCCCCCCCTCACGGCCCCACCCCCGGTCTTGGTGGGCCCCCACAAAAGCTTAAAATTTTAAAATAATAATTATAATTACAATAACAATAATTAATAATAATAATAAAAAAGAGAGGGGGACCACGACCACAGCCACACAGGGGGCTACAGTTCGCATTGATTAAGCCGGCGGCTGTCAGAGAAGTTAAAAAAAATTCCCGGTGGTCCCCACAAGTTCCGTTCAGCCACGTGGACGGTGGCGATGGGGTTTATCTCCGCGCGTGCTTGAAACTGGTCCCCTCCCGTTTTGTGGTCCTGGCGATGAGGAGGTGACTCGTGTCGAGAGGTCGTTGTCCCGCGAGTGGCGGAGACAACAGAGACGTAATCCATGGTCCCCCTCCTTTTTATTTATTTATTTATTTATTTATTTTTTAATATTTTCCCCGCGATATTTTCCCTGTTTGTTCTGTACGGTGACCGGCTGTGGACGGTCGCCTAAACTACCCAACCGAAGCTCACAACCGGTCGCGGGTAAAGATTAATTGAACCATTGAATCACCTGTATCATTGTCGTTTAACGCCCAATTACACTCTAGACAGGTGGTCACGCTAGTTCGGATGACGTGGGAAGCACGCTCCAAGAGTTGAGGGAGAAAAATACTATTGTTTTAGTATTCCTACGAGTACGCTTCTTCTAGATACGCCCGTGTACTTTTGTTGTTGAAATGAGAAGGGATCCACTTTATCAAGTATATGGAGCTCTTTGCGTGTCATTTTTCTATTACTTTTTTCTACTTTTGAAAATTAAAATGTTGTGATTTCTTAGCACTAAGATAAGATGAGGGTTAGGCAGAATAAAGATAAGATAGGAGTCTATATTATTTCCCTCTCACGTGCGTGACGCGTGTTAATTATTACACTTTGTGCTCTTAAATTATTGCTTGGTAATAATGTGGCGGGTTGTTTTTAAAATAATCATCAATCATCCCATTTGGTTTTATTCTTGTCTGATCCTCTTAGGTTGATCGTTGTGTGGTAAAACGCATTGAAAATGTGCTCCTTTTAAGTTGAGCAAAATGAAAATGTGGTGCCTCATTTTCAACTTGACAAGGAGTATATCGGATTGCTATACTTAATTTGCTAATTGTAAGTATTAATATATATTTATGCTAATTTTGTACTCGTGTATATATAGCCTTTCAAAACAAAAGTCCATTGTCGATTTATTTCTTCCGCCTTATGGTCATAACACATAGAAGACTTTCAGTTAAAATGTGGCAGGAGTTCAGCATGACATAAAGATTTGTTGACATTGATTAAATCGTGAAATAGTTGTATCACACTAAACTTATTTTAATAGGTTAAGATGTTGTTAATGGCCACATCACGATTGAAAACAATGTTACTTTGTTGAAAGAAAAAAATATTATTATTAACTTCCGACTCGTTTAATTCGTTGATTTGAGTTGAAATGTCATTTTTATGTGAGAGCTTTTTACTATAGTAAAAAAAATTAGATGTGATTATTTCTGAAAACTTTTTACTCAAATCGGTGAAATGAACGGATTTGTAACAAAAATATAAAAAAATGTGATACTGTGAAGGTAGCTCAAATAAAATGAAAGTAAAAAAAAAAAAAAAAACTCAAACTTTTACAGATCAGCACACAAATTTTTCATTTCGTAATATTTTTTTGCAATAATGATATGAAAGTTTCTCAGTGAGAAGAATTACGCATGTTTTGATTTTGAATAGTATAAGGAATCGGAGTAGTACCAAACTATTTATTTAGTACTCGAAATAACGGAAGTGTTGGCGGACAACAGTGAGTGAGAAGTACCAAACAAAGGCCGTTGCTACAGTTTGTCTGAGATCAACATACTGTTAAGTTGGTGTCTTTTCTGTTTAATTTATTAATTTTTATTTTGGGCTTCTACTGTTTTTTAAGTTGGAAGTCTTTTGTACAATAATCCCGGCAGGCAAACCTCACCTAGATCTACGCTTTGGTCCCAACGTAGACCCACGTGCTGTCCACGCGCTTTTTGTCCTATAATTTATTACTCCTAAAGTCCTAACTCCAATCCCCCAAGTGAAAAAATAAAAAATAAAAAAAGAAAAAACCCCTCCAATCCCCAAGTCATCAGTCAGTATGCAAAGCCGCAAGACAGCGGCGGAGGTGTGTTGGGCCACGTAGATAATTGGTTTGCCGTTAGATAGTACTCTCTTTAACCTACCACCCTCAAATCTCCACGCAACCAGGATTCGTGTGACGGTTCGTGTCATAATTCATGACTCGATATAATATTTTTTTTTATAAAAAATATATATAAATTGAGAATAGTTTTAAATCATGATTTTAAATTTATGAACAAAATAGAATTAAAAAGAATAACTATCAATAATTTTATACTTTTTAATCGTTATATTTGTATCAAAAATTATTTATTCTGCATTTTTTTTAATTTGATATGACTTTTATGACAATTCTAATAGAGAGACATACCGGAGAAATTTTTTTTTTCTAAACGCATATTTGTTTGAACTACTATTATATAATTTTCCTATTACTATTACCTGATTCTAGATAGCAAAGAGATATTAGACTAAAAAATTATATAAATTCAATGAAAGGATTAGCATCAAAAACTATATAATATATTATGAGTAACAATGATTATTGTCATGTCAGATTGTTTTAATAATTTTTTGAAAATATTATTGTGCATTTTGGTAATCAAAATAATAACTTATAATAATTATGTGACAATGACAAAAAAATAAAAATAAAACTAATATATTTAAATTAAACCACTTAATAAAGTATAACAGTTTTACAGTTTAAAATAGCAGAAGTAAAGTATTTATTGAATGTACTGTAAGAAAAGTTATTTTTGGAAAACTTATTAAGAAGTTAATTTCAATTAGATTGTACAAAAAAAAAAATAAAACACCATATTTAAAAAAATCCGTAAAGTCGATCTGGGGTCTAAATTTACTTTCGTTGAATTTGATGACCATTATCATAATAAGAATAATACTCTTGCTGAAGCTGAAAAAAATTCCTTGCATGTGAAAAACAAAAATTACTGCTCAAATATATTTTCACTAATTAATTATTGATATCAAATTAAAAAATTGTAATTATTCTTCTAGACGCGCGCAGGTGCAGGAGCACGAGAATGAGATCTTTTTAATAAACTGATAAAGCAATAAGTGCTCTATCATTTCGCAATAATAGTAAATATATATAATATATATATATATATATAAACAGTAATCTGCATAGGGAAAAAGGTGAGAGCTCGACTCTCACCTCACCAACAATATTCATGTACAAAGCAGTATTCCGATCAATCCCCTCGCCTGAAAACCGCTCTCCCCAAAACCACCATTCAATCTCTTTCTCTCTCCTCTCTAAAATCCCCCACCTCCCACTTTCTCTCTCTAAACTCCCTTTCCTTCCTCCCCCTATATACGTTCATACTAGTCCATATCACCCCTCCCTTCTCTCTCTCTCTCTCTCTAAGAACACACACCATACATCTCGTCTCGCTATATCTCTATCTCAACACAACCTCCAAAAACCAAACTCCTTTTCTGCTCTCTCTCTGTCTCTCTCTCTCTCTCATCGTCCTTCCTTTCTTCTATTTCTTTCCATGGGAAATCACAAGTCCGAGTAATAACCTCATCGGCATCGTTGAAAAAACACAGTACGGCGACTGATATATTATCAGTACATAAAAATATCGTCATAAGCGTAACCACAAGAGAAGAAACTCTCTCTGCTGTCTTCAAGTAAATATATACATATATATATTTTATTCGTCTATATATCTAGCGATCGGATATGGCGTACCATAACCACCTGTCGCAAGAGCTCAACGCTCTGCACCACTTCGCGGATCACCAAAGCCAACAACAGCAGAGCCAGTCGACGTTGGAGGTCTTGACGTCATCGGCCAAGTCGGCTGAGCAGCACCAGCCGCTCCAAGCGGCCCCGAATTGGCTCAACAACGCCCTCCTCCGCACCCACGCCGCTCACTTCGACGGCGCCAACGGCGGCGGCGGCGGAAACAACAACAACAGCAGCAGCCACGTCAACAACAGCAACAACAACAATTTCCTTAACCTTCACACGACCGCCTCCGATTCCCGCGGTGGAGGCGGCGGCGGGACCTCGAACCAATGGCTCACCCGGCAGATCCTCCAGCGCAACCACAGCGACGTCATCGACACCGTTGGCGACACCATGATCGCCGCCGCCATGTCTCACGACTCCGGCGAGATGAAGGTTGGAGACGCTGCGGACAGCCTGAACGGGAAGAGCGAGAGCGGAGTCGTGGTGGAGAGCGGCGACGGAGGCGTGATGAACTGGCAGAATGCAAGGTACAAGGCAGAGATTCTGTCCCACCCGCTGTACGACCAGCTTCTGTCGGCGCACGTGGCGTGTCTCCGAATCGCCACGCCGGTGGACCAGCTTCCGAGGATCGACGCCCAGCTCGCTCAGTCGCAGAATGTGGTCGCCAAGTACTCCGCCCTCGGTCAGGCCATGGTCAGCGATGATAAGGAGCTTGATCAGTTTATGGTACGCTAATTAATCTTCTCTCCTCGATCGTCTCTCCTTTTCTTCTCTCTTTCTTTCTTCCGATTTTCTGCTAATTTATGGAACCAATTGAACCGGAATTTATTGTCATCTGCAATTATTGTTAGTTTGTACAAATTTAAAGCTTATTTATTTTATGTTTCAAAATCACAACCCAATTCTTTTATTCAGTTTAATCGTCTTAAAGTATAGAATTTGATAGCATTTGATTAGAAAGATTGCTGATTCCATCTAAGAATTAATTGGAAGAAGAATAAGGCCTAAAGAAATGGCCTTTTTTTTTTTTTTTTTTTCCAGTTTTGCAAATTTCTGGTCGGCCGAGGAGGTTGGTTGGTGTATATTTCTACCTACGGCCCTTTTAAGCACTTATTAAATGCGAAGAGCAATCATGTGCAAGCTTGATTTGTGCTAGTCATCACGTTATTTGTATTAAACAGAGGAACTAGCTGTGAAACGATAGACTTTCCTTGGTCGGCAAACAAATTAATGAGACGCTTTATATATGGGTGAAAAGTCTCAAATTTTATATTCAACTCCTCTATTCCGTGGATGTACCAATGTGATTAGGTAGTGTTTTCTGACGTTAAACAGTTTCCTTTGAGTTTTTTTGTCGGCAATTGAACTTTGCTTTGGTTTTGCTTTAACCTTTTCTTACTGAATTTTATGAGATGGGTATTGTTATAGTATTGTGAGCAAAGGAATAATGAAACAAAATAATGAAGCAACTCATTAAACAGACAAGACAATGGACACATTATAGGACGACCAAAAGCAAGTATGATTCCAGAGAGTTGTCTTAGGTCTACCTAGTAGTCCTAGTTAAAAGAAATTGTGAATTGATAATGATAGACAGCTTTGTCTCAAATATATATACATATATATATATATATATATATATGTATATATATTTCTTTTTGTTTCGTTTTGTTGCGATTGGTTTCTGATTAACATATAAAATAGGTTCCGGTTTTTTTAATGAGTTCCTACCTAAAATCCTTATACAATTGCAAAATGAAAATTTCTTCTGACAAATGTCACATTGCTACAGCAAATACTTTGATATGGCTCCTGCTTTATCTCTTTCATTGGAATCCTGCGTATTATTCCTTGTAGGCTTTCTTATCTGCAGAGCTTTGAATCCTCTGCTGCACCATATTATTGTAATACGATTCTTCTGTGCTGTTATACTCTATCTGCATATATATATATATATTATTTTTTTCTGCATGCTTAATTGTAATGATGTTGCACGCTAATTCTTGGTGCGATTGGATTAGCTCCAGGTGGAAATGCTAACACAAAATCTTTATTATCTGACACTAAAAAGTGAAAGGAGATTTGGGATTATTAGGGGTCAAAATAATCACATAGGCACATATTCTTTGCTGCCAAGAAATTTGATTGTTTCTGCTTTCTAGATTTTTTTATAATAATAATAACAATAAAAAAAAAAATTTTGATCGTTTACTATATGATTAATGTAGACGCATTACGTTCTGCTGCTCTGCTCGTTTAAAGAACAATTGCAACAACATGTTCGGGTCCATGCAATGGAAGCAGTCATGGCTTGCTGGGAGATTGAGCAGTCCCTACAGAGCTTAACAGGTGATGTTTTGCCATTTCATTTGTTTTCTCTGTTTTTCTTTGTTCTTCTGACTTTCTTAATTACGAATGCTATTTTTGGGTGTGAAATTTTTTTTGTCACTTATGTAGTCTAAGAAGTTGGATTTATTTCAGTATTTAGTAGAGATACTTCTTAATCTTTGCTTTTAAATGCGAGATCGATATGAGCAATTCGTATTGAATTAGTCATGTGTATGAACAGGAGTGTCCCCCGGTGAGGGAACGGGCGCCACAATGTCCGACGACGAGGATGATCAAGTAGACAGTGATGCTAGCCTGTTTGATGGAAGTTTGGATGGTCCTCATGATACTATGGGATTCGGGCCTCTCATCCCTACAGAGAGTGAAAGGTCCTTGATGGAACGAGTCAGGCAAGAGTTGAAGCATGAACTGAAACAGGTATGTACACACATGCATCATGTACTTAAACTTATTCTTTCAGTTGTGAGTTTTCACAACAAACATTTTTTTTGTATTGTTCCTTATTGAATTACCAACTTTTGTAATTCTTTTTTGTTTCAGGGTTACAAGGAGAAGATCGTTGACATTAGGGAGGAAATTCTGCGAAAGAGAAGAGCGGGGAAGCTCCCTGGTGACACTACCTCTGTCCTAAAATCTTGGTGGCAAACTCATTCTAAATGGCCATATCCCACGGTACAAGAAACAATTTTTTTTTATTTTTTTTATTTTTTATAAAGTACTTTTAACATTAAGATCATTTCCAACATGTATTGCCAAATTTATCTTACAACGCCAAATTTTAGTATTTTGATAAGAAAAATAGAAAACCATTGTCATATAATGCTATATTTAATGTCACATTTGGCCTATGTCATACTTTGTCTCAAATTTAACACCAAGTTATTATATGTCAAATTTCGACACTCCACTCTCATTGGCTGATGTGTTGGTTTTCTATCTAATATTTACAACTTGCCATGTTCAAATTATTTAAAAATTAAAAAAAATTTCTTCACCCGGTGCTACCTAAAGCTTTAAACCCGTGACAAAAGGTAGACAAAACAGCACTCCATATTAAGTATGGTATATTTACACTTCTTGTGTCAAATATAGCATTGATATTAATGTCAACATATGGTAGTTTAAGATGGTTTTAGTATCGACTGCAATTCTAAAATAACACGAGTTCTTGATCAGGAGGAAGACAAGGCAAGGTTGGTACAAGAAACAGGGCTGCAATTAAAGCAGATAAACAACTGGTTCATCAACCAGAGGAAGAGGAATTGGCACAGCAATCCTTCCACTTCAACAGTTTTGAAGAGCAAACGCAAAAGGTAACATCAGCTGAAACTGATACGCCTTATAAAGTTTGTAATCTGCATTTCTGCTGAACTGATCATCAACTTTTTCACGCCAACCTTAATCCTAAAACTAGTAGTGCAGGTGAAAACAGCGGCGATCGCTTCGTATAAATAAAGGAAACATGGATCGAGATCAAAACATTGAATATATCCGACGTATAATTCGAGACCGCAGGATTCGGGTGAAAGGGATATCAGGTTTTGCTTCAACAGAAAGAGAGACAAAGCTAACACAAATGATGATGAGGAGTTTGGTGATGATGAGCGAGATATATATGAGGGATCACACAAGTATATATATGTATACGCTCAAAGGCATATATATATACGGAAGGCAGATGGTGGTGTAGTGAATTGTACGGCCGTATCGTATTGAATAGGAATTCAGTATTTAGGAATTTATCATATTATTACCGATACTAAATTAATGAATAGTTTCACATCATGCATATTTTTAGCGGGCGTATAATTTTTGCTTCAGGACTCAGGAGTCATTATATTTGTGAATAAGAATAGCGAGGGGCCTTTTTTTGGGGGGTGTACAGTACTGTAATGATCTGTGCATGGTTTTTCTTACCGTCGCATTGATATTGATTACATATAGCTTCTTCTTTTTTTTTTTTTTTTTTTTTCTACCTATCTTTTTTGGGGCATTTTGGTGTAGAGAACTATAATTGGTAGAAATAGTGTTATGTAAATTTTTCACAATTTTATGTAGCCTTGTTCATTTCGTGCTTAAAAATGCCATATAATCAAGTCCCCTTGTAACTATATATGTCTAGTTTTTCAATCGTATTGCTTTTTCTTTTTTTTTTTTTAATTATTTTTTGCAAGAGGTTTAAAACGTATTGCGTTTTCAAGTGAAATGTTGTGTACGCAAAACCCACGAACTATATACATATACATATATATATATATATGCATATCCGTTATATTATTTGAAAAAGTGAGTGAAGAGCAGAGAGCTTGTTGGTTTTTGTGAAAAACCCAATTAATTAATTATTAAATGGCCGTTTATTTCATATACTTAAACTCAAATAATTAAATCAATTACAGTGTTTTTCTTATTTGAATTTTAAAAGTCATAATAAAAAATTATGATTTGAGCATGCATTTTAAATGAGTCGTAAGAATCACATGTAGCATGATACAAACAGCTTAAAAAGCTTAAAAGAGAAATTGTTATACCTCCTGGCAAGAGCAAAACTTTTCTCATCAGCATATATGACATTACATATACACCAGAATATTTTATCGACGGGTCACGAGTTGTATATTTAATCAAGTATCAAGAATATATGACATTACAATCACGCATCAAAATGTACAAATTAAAAAATAACTTTGAAAAAAAAGTTACAATAAACAAAATCTAGCTCGCTACCTATTTCTCAGAAGAAAAATACAATTATACACATAAAAAAAAATCTCATTATATCAACATAAATAATCCAATACAATATTTAGCAGTGGCTAAATGATTAATAACCCAATTAATCGAGTCCATCTTGACATTTGTTCATCCCCAATGGATCAGCATATCGACCTGAAAATTAAAGGTAAAAAGCATCATATCAGCTAATTCCTTATCTATCCCGTCATTGAAATTAAGCGCATAACTCTGAGGATCATATTGAAAACGTAGCCCCTTTTTCTTGTTAGTGATCACACCACATTTGCTTAAACGGCGAATGAAGTTTTTCCACTTTGGCCCTGCCAACACTTCCGAAACCTCTTTCAACTTCTTCGCGCTCTTCACCAACCAACTCTCTTCTTCCACTACTACAATTAATCTATCTCCTCCTTGTTGTTGTTGTTGGAGCAAATCATGTCTTCCCGACACGTCAGTCATATTTGGAATTGATTCTGTTTTTATTTTTCACGTTTTTTGAGGAAAAAAAATAAAAACGTTTTCAAAACGGCATTTGACGCAATAAAGACAAAAAATGAAAATGAAAACGATTTTTTAGTTTTAGTGTAAAATGAGAGAGAAATAAAAAATGACTTTTAGTCGTTTTTTATTTTTTTATTTTCGTTTTCTCCTTTCTCTAGCAGAGAGAGAAAGAAAGACATTAATGAGTTTTTTACACTGAAAATAATCTCTTGATAAAACTACTAAACACAAATTTTAAAATAATTTCTGTATGATGAAAACGTTTTTATTTTTATATAAAAAATAAAATAATTTTGAAACGAGTTTTAAACGCGGCCATCGTCTCCGGTGCCCGCCGCAAATATCTGGATTGAAGTCCCCGCAAACAACAGCACAAATTAGAAAACGGCGGTAGTGTCTCTTCATCTTCTTCTGTACTGTGATCATAATTCTCTTTTGAGACCAAGTTCTCGTGTTTCGTATTGTTTGCCATGAAAGGAGACGTTTGATAGAGCCTTTTGTAACAAATGGAGTTCTTAATATATGTCTATATATTACGAGAAAGAAAAAAAAAATAGGATTAAGAATCTTTTGCTGAGGATTATTTTAAGTTATTAATCGTTCGGCCGTTAGTTAATATATATACACGCTGGCAGATCAGAGAGAGATTCTAAGCATGATCATATAATAATTAAGATTAGTGGTTGGCTCGTCATTTGGATTCTTAGGAAAGTACTGATGAAGGCTTTGTTTGCCGGTGTTAAGAAGTCACAGTAGCATTAATTCTTAATAAAGCAGTTAGGAATTACACAAGTGGTTACTTGTATTAATTTATGTATAAATAGATAGTTGTAACAGATTTTAAGATAAATGAATTCAGTTTTCCTTCTCACTCATCAACTTTCTCTCTCTCTCTAGTTTTCTGTTGAAAGCTTTCTTTATAGCCGGCAGTGCATATATATGTACAATTTAGCAGCTGTGGCTTACTAGGCACCTCTTAATTGACAGTTGAGAGCCGAAGGAGCAGTTTTTTGTCTCGTTTGACTGGTATTATGAGAGCTTTGCGATATGATGATGCAACGAGAAAGGAAACTTTGCACTCAAATCTTGTTGGCCTAATTTTTTGTGATTTTGGGTTGGGCTTATTATTATGGCCCAATAAGAGGGCACCGGATTGCGAAGAGAGAGGAGGGAAAGATAAAATCACTGAATTTAATTTTAAAAATGTATTAGTCTGAATTTTTACTCTCATTCTTGATTAATACTATTTAGTTAATATAATTATTTGATCAAAAAGATTATTAAGTAAGAATAAGGGATAAAATTCTGAATCATGCACTTTTAAATGATATTTATTTCCTTTTCGCGTGAGAAAAGGAGAGAAAAGAGAGAGAATTAAGGTATGGCTCTTTTTCTTTTTTTCTTCTTTTTTTTTTCCTTTTTTGAGACAAATAGACAATAAGGTAAGGGTTTTATGTAGAGAGGTTATGTTATGTGTGTAATTTTTAAGTTATTGGTGAATTTATACTTCCTTTTTGTTGAATGTAAGCAATGTTTTGTTTTTGTATTTGTATTGAGCTCTCCTTAAGTGATTTTTTTGTTGCTTGTTGTTTCATTTGACAACTTAATTTCAGTCTCTTTATATGTTTATGTATTTACATAAAGCTAAATTATCTCAAACAAAAACAAAAGTAATGGTGAAAACTGTAAATGGTTTACATGTTTAGGCTAATGGTAATTACATTAATACAAATTGAGAAAGGCTGACATCACTTTTTTTTTTGTCATTTTTTGTAATTTTTCTATATTCATTGTCCGACATGTGGACTACATTAACTTAACAACGAATGCAGAAAGTGACAAAAAGAGTGACAGAAATAATGATGCTAGCATTTCTCATACATATTTGGCAATTGATAGTTTCAAGTAATGTATGAGGAATTACAATTATTTAGGGGTGTTCACGGATTAAATTACGCGAATTAAGAGTCAATTTATGCAGAATCCTTTATCAATCTATGAGGCTCCCAATCCAATCCGACCTATGTTTTTTTTATTCTCATAAAATTAAGAATTATAATTATTTAGGAGTTCACAGATTTGATTACGCGAATTAAGAGTTAATTTATGCAGAATCCTTTACCAATCTGTGAGGCTCCCAATCCAATCCAACCTATGTTTTTTTTTTTTTTTATTCTCATAAAATTAAATACAAAATTAAACACAAAAATAAAATTTTAATAGTTCAACAATTCATTGCAACGCAAAATCTAACATAGAGTTCAAGGCAAAGTCGAAGTTAAATGCACTGAACTAATGAAGTAAAAGAGAGAAGGAAGAGAAAATGTGGCGGCATGATTGAAGTTAAAAAATCTCATATATATTATTAAAAATATATGAATATATATGTAATATATATAATTTGAATTGACAGATTATGTGGGTTGAAAAATGTTCAATCCGCTATTACAGAACGGAAAAATCTCAATCCCAATACTAATTTAAAATTTTTTTAATCCAATTCAATTCGTTGGATTAAATTGCATTATGCGGGTTTCGATAATGTCACAACTGACAAGTGCGTTAGCATAATTATACGGATAAAAGTTAGTTCCTAGCATATAATTCCTTTCTATGGGTCCGTTTCTTTTTGTCGAGAGTCAAAATTAAATATGAACAATGGAGGTACTTTATGTCTTCTTCGTAATGTTCAAATTTGGAAGCTTAAACTGAATTTCGCATGAGAGTATCATCTCCGTAGAACAAGATACGAGCTTTTTTGTCAAATTAGTCACTAAACATGTAATAAAATGAAAGGAAAAATAGCCAAAATGTATTGAAGAGCCCCCCCCAGACCCCACACCAAAC